CAAAATTTGTGTGTGTGTGTGTGTAAACAAACAATGTGACATTTGTGGTGAATCTAGGGGAAAACTATACAGGAATTCACTGTACTGTTTTTCAAGATTTCCTGTAGGCTTACAAAGTATTCAAAATAAAAAGTTGGGAAAAGTAAATTTTAAAATGCTGCTTTGGGGATCACTATGGTCATTAAATTAGAAAGCTATTAACAGACTGATTTCACTCTCATTATGAACTTAGGTTTTAGAGGGGCAGTTGATACTTTGTAATTGAGTGAGAAGCTTACTTTGCAAGTGACTTTAAATGCATTCCATATAGTACCTTTTGCTTTTACTTGTCCCTTGTTAATTTCATTTCAGTTCAACAATGTGTATTAAGCCCATTCTGAGGATGCAGGAGTGCCACAGGCTGGTGGGTATGGCAGATGAAAGCAATTGTCATTCTTTTAGGAGAAAATAAGACTTGCATGAAGTAGATATTACTGTTCCTTATGTACTTAACAAATATATTTTGTGATCATTTTATGTTATTATTTTTATGGGTAAGTAAATAGATTCAGAGTGGTTGAGTGATGTATTTGGAGTGACACAGTTGGTGCAGATCAGGGATTTCCTCCTTGTGGAGCTGAGTCTACTACAACTTAGCACAGGCACCAGGGCAGGACCATTTGTGGTGTCACCTCTGTCTCTGGGTTTGCCAACTGGTATCTGTCTCTTGAACTGGTAGCAGCTGCACAGCTCTTATTTTCATATGCTGATTCATTTATTCATAGCATTTATTGGACACCAATTACATGCAAGGAAGGCCCTGGAATGAGTAAGTGATGGGCTGTAGCAAGCTGTAAATTCAGAGGCTTCAGAGCATGACGCAGACCCCACTGTCCTTAAAGTCTTTTGAAGTCACAGTGCCTCACACTCTCCCTTTCATGTTTACTATCTGCTTTATTAAAACATTACTTAAACGACTACTTTATATCTCTACCTAAACAATCATCAACAGAATTCAAACCATCTTTAGCTTGTTATAAAAGCTTGTGGAGAGATTACAACTCAGGCATTTCCCCACTACTCCTTATCTTTGACCCCAAAATATTATTTCTTTGAAAATGCAACTTTGCTTTTCTACATAAAGAGCCCTCATTTGTATCAGTGGATCTCAAGCATCATTCATGTATGCTTTGAAGTATTTTCAGCAGCTAGAAAGTAAACACAAGAGCCAGATAGTAAGAAAGGAGTTTAATAGAAGGAGCCATTTAGAAGCCATATAATTTAAAATTGTCAGACAGGAGAGAATAGGCTGCTGCCTGTTAGTTTAAGAGGCCTGCGCCAGACTGGGAGTGCTCTTCAGAGACCAGTTACTCTTCCTTATGGCAATGCTTTCAGTGTATAAATCTCAGAGGGGCTTTGCTGCCTCGTTGGAGCACTGGCAAGAACTGACTGCAAGTTACAAAGCAGTGGTGGTGATAAACAAAAGAGAGAAATGAATGCACACACCTGTAATTTCAGCCCTTGGGAAGCTAAGGCAGTAGGATTGAAAGGTCAGCCTAGACTATGTAGTGAGAACCTGTCTCAAAACAAACAATAAGCAATAAGTCAAATGCAGACTATCAGTAGTCTGTATATATTCAGACTATATTAGTAGTCATGTATATATTCAGGAACCACAGAAACAAGTTCCCAAGGCAAAAAGGGGAGAGAAACATTTTCAAGTGGACCATGTTATCTGAGTGGCACTGGAAATGAGTTGTTGGAATCAGTGCTCTTATTAAATTAGGCCAGGTAGCAGCAGACTCATATAACAAGTTACGGGCACACCACCTGCTGCTGGACGTGGGGTTTCAAGCTGCTATGATGCTTCAAAGGGGCTGGTCAGAGGCTACTCCATTTATCTGGTAGCAGAGGGTACAGCCTTGGGAAAACCAATGCACTAAGTAATCCTCCAGGTGTATTAAAACACAGCTGCCTATGCCATACCCCTGTAACAGAATTTCAGTGCATTTAGAAACAATAGTGTTTGGAACTTCTCTAAGAACTTAGTTTCCCCAGAATGGAATAGGTCCAGTGTTAAGTACCTATGCATGGCTAATTCTTAGTGGCTAGAATACACATAGGTTCAGGATTTCTGCATCTGCAAGGTGTGGGCTTCTTACTTAACCTTTCTAAGCCACACTTTCCTCATTTGTAAATTGGGATCAATAAAACTGCTTTTTATTGTGAGCCTAAATGACACAAAGTGTGGAGTGCTTAATGTAGCACTTAGAATGCAGTGACAAGTAAATCATTATCTATTGAATAGGTTTTTGAAGAGTGCTATGATGGTGGAGGTTTGTTAGAAAAGGTAAAGAGTGCTTGGTATGATTCTTTGTTTTTTTGACAGTACTAGAGTTTGAACTCAGGACCTCAGGCTAATAGACAGGTGCTTTACCACTTGAGCCACATTCTCACCCTTTTTTCTTTCACTTTAATTTTTAGGTGGAGTTCTTCTTTTGCTTGAGTTTAGGCTTGGACTGCAATCCTCCTACCTCTGACTCTTGTGTAGCTGTGATTGTAGGCATGAGCCACTGTACTCATCTGGAATGATTCTTGTATTCAAGAATGCTTCATTTAGAGAGTATCTTATTCACATATCTAAAGTAGTTTTGTTTTGATGAGGACTGAGAGAGATATGGTTTTATGTTATAAGTATTTATTAGAATTTTCCAAATAGGAGCTCTTGGATTTTCTATAATTTTCTTCACTGTGTAATCATGGTGTATGTCTTTTGGAGATTACTGTACCTGTCTTTAGGTATTGCTTTATCATTTTCAGAGTTTCCTTCTAAGTCCTAATTAGTTTTTCATCATGACTGGAAGGAGATAGATTAGTATTAATTTAAACCCAAGTCAGCATGGATTTGCCTGGGACAGAACTGGCAGAATTTAGGGTGTCCAGGAATTGGTGTGACAATTATTCCTTCCTAGAGAAAAAAGCAAAGAGGCTTCTTAGAGCCAAGGCTAATTCTGTGACTGAGAGCAGTGGTTCTCAAAGTGTGGTTGAGCCCAGGGGGTTCCCAAGGCCTTTAGGAAGCCACAAATCCTTAGAGTCCTTCTTTTCCCTATTACAGATCTAGGTAGGGCCAGATCTCCAAATACTTCAACTAACCAATGTGTCACAGCAGATTGAACGTGAAAGCAGATGTGAGAATGTAGGTGTCTTCTATCACGCACATATTTAAAGAGATTGGCAAAAATGTAAAGCATGCCATTAGTATCACTAAAATTTTGTCTTAGAAAATGTAATAATTTTCATAAAAATATGGTATTTATGCTAATATAATGAGTTTCTTATTTTGAATTAATTAATAGTACATATTTTTAAAATTTCTCAACTTTAATACATACATATCAATAGATAGAGTCCACATAAAGATTTTGGGTCCTCCATAATTTTTTTTAAAGTATAAAGGGCTCCTGAGACCAAAAAAGTTAGAGAACTATTGTCCTAGAGATTGACTTCTAGTTTAGAGTTTGGAACATTTACATTAGGAAGTCAGACCTTTATATGTGTGTGTGTGTGTGTTGTGTGTGTGTGTGTGTGGTGTGTGTGGCGCGTGTATGTGTGTGTGTGTATGTGTGTGTGTGTGCATGTATGTATATATATATAAATAACTCTTATTATATATTATTATATGTTAAAAAAATAAAGATAAAAGTACCTTATTAATCTTTTCCAGGAAAGAAAAGGATCTCACAGGGTCTGAGTCCTTCTGCCCTCTCTAAGTCATTGTTCAGATGGCTCTAGTGGGCTAGCTAATAAAGATGAGTGTCCTGCTCAGAAATCCATTATAAAATCTTCTACATGGGGGTTAGGGAGTTTCCTTGCTCATTAACATGTTAACATAGATTTGTTTAACAGCTGTTTTCATTGTCTTACCAGGCCCTTCAGGAAACAGATACGGCCATCCCTCAGTATCTGGGAAGAATTGGTTCCACAATCCCTCCACTCCCCCTGAACCCCTCAGCAGATCCTCAAGTCCCTTACATAATGTGGTGTAGGATTTGCATATAACTTCCCATATCCTTCTGTGTATTTGAAATAAGTTGCTTATAATACCTAATACAATGTAAATGCTATACAAATGCTTGTTATATACTCTATTGTTTGGGGAATAGAGACAAGGAAAATGTCCGCACGTGTCCAGTACAGATGTAATTTTTGTCCAATAGTTTTGAACTTCTGTTGAATTCATAGATATGGACTTGTGGATATTGGAAGGCTGACTGTATAATTGCAGAGTTCAAAATCCAAGGCAGATAGTTTTTGAGGAAAGGAGGAAGGAATAAACTACAAGGAACCCCTGGAGGTCCATGAGAGGCCTGTGGGGCTTAAGAGTGGGAGGTGAAGAAAGTAAGGTCAAAGCCCACTTTATCTCTTTCTTTTGCATCATCCTGGCCATGGCAAAAAAGTGGTGAGGGTAATGAGAAAATTAACAAGAGGGAGAGAGTCAGGAAAATAGGAGACAGTAGGTATGGTATGGGGAAGGAGGTGCTGCCACCCTCCCAACTGCTTAGGTCTCAGTTCTGCTACTGTGATCCTCCAACACTGGAACAAGGCACTATGACGCTCCCAGGAGATCCTTTGAGCTGTACTATTGGCTCTTGGTCCTGGAAGGGCTTAACACACAATTGCCATTGCTTGCCATCAGACTTCTCTGATACATGGAATTGATATAGTCTAAGATGCTGTGTAGTCTTGTTGAAATTCAAGGGTATATTGGTTAAGTTGTGACAAAGATGGTGATTTATGTGTGTATTTGGTGGAGAAAGAAAGATGATGATTTTGATTTTGAAAATAATAATCTTGAGAGGCTGTATCCAGGCAGAGCTGTCTAGTAGGCAGTTAGAAATAAGGACCTTAATCTTGGTGCTGCAGTTGTGGCTGGTGCATTGGGCACCAGCATCCTATAGAAATGGTCAAAGCTATCAACAGATGAGGTGACTTTAATAACTGTATCTCTTGCTTTATCAGATCTTCCATGTGGCCTATATTTTAATCAAATTTGCAAATTCTCCTCGCCCTGATCTTTGGGTCTTGGAAAGATCTGTAGACTTTGGAAGAACCTACTCACCATGGCAATATTTTGCTTGTAAGTAATCTTGCCTACCACATTATGAGGGGTTTTAATTGCTTGCAACAGTTCAAGACTATAGACTCAATTATAAAATTGGTCTCTCAGTGTGGCTTGGTAGGAACTGGTCAAAAAGTTGTCAAAAGACAGCCCCATTTCTCAAGCATGTGTACATTGGTTCCAAGGATGACACATGCAGAACTGAGATTATAACTGTTAGGGTTGACAGTAAGAGCAGCCATATTAGGACCAGATCGCCTCCCTCTTGCAGGTGGCTTGCTGGAAACTCCCCACCCAACCCCAAATACTGACAAAGGGACAGTTGTTAACCTTTATTTCCAAGTGGGTGCCAAGGACAGTTGAGCAGACAGTAACCTAAACATGACTTATCTTCCTTGGCTGCCCTGCAACAGTATTCTTTAGTGATCTTCCTGGTACTTTTCCACTAGCCCCCTATATCTATCCCAAGCCTGTGCATGGCAGTGGGCTCTTAGTTCTCTTGCTGGAGACCCTTTCTGCAGGCTCTTCCTCCAGAATAAAGCCTGTGCTGATGTTGAGCTGCCTCCTGCCTTTCCTTTTCTGCCTCTCTTCAGTCTAACAATAACATCTGTTGTGATAATGGTTCTTGCAACTATTTGGGGCTATCTATAACTGGGCCAAAACTCCAGTCCTTTTGCTTTTATAAGATTCAAACTTTATGGATCCTGTATTGTGCATTACTCATTTTGACACTGTTATCTTCACTAGTGAAGGTAGGTGTCTCTGGACCCTATGATGAATTGAGATGGACAGGGATTTTGCTTGCACCAGCATTGGGTTTTTCATGAAGGCTCCATACAGGATAAACTTGCCTAATGAAGTACAAGAAGTTAACACCACATCTCCATATGGCTGCTGGAAGTCAAGTGGCCTGAAATGGCTTAGAATTTTCTTTCATGAATTAAAAACTTTATTTTAAGTTTTTATCTAAAAGCTTAAAAGACTTCTCTATTCTTTCTCTTTGCATGTATTTTCTTAAAGAAATGTAAGGCTTCTTAAGGAATTTATCATAACATGATATTCCACTTCATAATATGAAAATATTTTCTTCCTAGATTCTAAAGAAGACTGTTTAGAACAATTTGGGCAAGAGGCAAATATGGCCATCACCCGGGATGATGACGTTCTCTGTATTACTGAATATTCCCGTATTGTGCCTTTGGAAAACGGTGAGGTAAGTACACTTGGAAGGCTGTGAGAGGTACCACTCAGAAGTGAGTATAAAGATAGCAAATTTTTCATAAGGGTGAAAATTTCACTTTTGAGGAGATCCAACATAGATCAAGATGGAAGCCAGTACCATGGAGTAAATGGTTAAGGAGTAACATTAAGGACTCCCAGAAGGAGTTAAGTTGGAAATTCTGTTTCGGGTCTTGTATTCTCCCCAAGCAGTCAGGATTTGGATACTTTCTGGTGATAAATATAGAAAGTGGGTCACTGGTAACAGAAATGATGGGCCCTATCAGGAATGAGGGAATGAAGTGGAGGTCACAGTGCTGAGTCCTGATTCCTTTTGGCAGGGTAGACATCATTTGCTGGGGAGAAAAAAATTACTGTCTCTTTATGGTTGCATTCAGCTCTTTGTGAAACCAGCCTGGCTATCACTAGGGCAGGTGGGCAACCAGAGGTCAGGGAAAATCGGAGAAGAATTCCATGGAAATGGTGAGGCCATAATGAATGTGAACTGAGTTTCAAATGAGCTCTCATTAAGACAGACAGTCTTCCTCTATTTAAGTAGAGAATCCTACCTTAGCAGCTACACCTAGTGGCTTCCAGCAGTTGGTGATGGATTCATGTTTGAAAGGTTGACTTTATCAGCTCAGGTTTTTAAAACAAAACCTAGGTTCTATATAGATATATTTTTGGTTATTTTTCTACCTCATTTTGGTTTTTGCATTACTTCAGCTTTGTTTTTCTGGTGCAGCTTGACAGTTGTTTCCTTATATTTATAGATTTTAATGTATCTTCAGTATGTCATAGTGTCATAGCCACACAGTGACATGACTAGAACAAAGGTTTGCAAATGAAATGATAACATCCCCAGGGAGTCCAGGTTTCAAAGACATACTGCTGGAACTTGGAACCAATAAAGTGGGAGGGAAGATGCAAGTATCAGTGATGTTTTGTGGTTTTTTTTAAATTTTTATTTTATTCATATGTGCATACAATGTTTGGGTCATTTCAGTGATATAAAAAGATCCAAGACCATCTGCACACATCTAATGGCTCAAAGGAGCCACATGCTTGGAGGCATCTATTACTTTTAGTTACTTGCTGCTAAATTTCATTGGAAGGAATTTCTTCATTCTTCATGTATGATTATTTTAGGTTGTGGTGTCCTTGATAAATGGTCGTCCAGGTGCAAAAAATTTTACTTTCTCTGATACCCTGAAAGAGTTTACCAAGGCAACAAACATCCGCTTGCGCTTTCTCCGAACTAACACCCTTCTTGGGCACCTCATTTCCAAAGCACAGCGAGATCCGACTGTCACACGGCGGGTGAGTAGGGTTTTGTAAGTGTCTAGACAACATGTTAGTTTTCTTACTTCTTTTGCTTATCAAATAAATTGCCTTTGAACTCTTTAAATCAGGTAACTTTTACAGCCAGTAATGGTGTAGGCAAGGGGACTGTTCTGAAATACTACTTAAAGAAAATCATTATATTCAAAGAAGAGGAAAAGCAAAAGATTATAGTCAAACTGGTATTGGTCTGGATGGGCTAATTGCTACTATTATTAACAACCCCCAAATCTCAGAAGTATGACAAACTCAGTGTTTGTTTTTTGCTCATGTACAGTCTGATGTGAATCATCAGGTAAGATCAGCTTCTCATTCAGAGAACCAGGCTCATTCTATCCTGTAGGAGCTCAGAAGCCTTCTCTGAATCTCTAGTATCAGGTCAGTGGATGGGAGAAGAGAGAGTATAGAGAAGGTCTACCTGCTTCTAGCCACAGAGGTCACTTCTACTGGGAAAATCTGGTCCTATTATAGCTCTGTCTAGGGGTAAGGAGATTGAGCAATGTGACCTTTCAGCAGAGAGACAAAGATACATAAGAGCACTGGTACTCTCTACCTTGTTGGATGTTCAGAGTGCTGAACATCTCTTACCCTCAGCTGTCAGGGCCATACCCCTGTCTCCTGGGCACAGAGGGAGCCATCAGAGTAAATACCCTCTGATCTCCTGCATGTGCCTCCTATTGGCCAAACCCAATAGGAAGCCAAGGAACAACAGAGTCCATGGAATTCACTACCAGAGCAAGAGGCAAGGTCTCCCTGGAAGGGTGAATAGAAAATGCCCGCTACATGTTCTAGAGGTTGGCCTTTTACGTGGTAATAGCAGAAGTGGAGGGGTGGGGGAGAGAGAGAGCATGCAAGCAAGAGAGAGAATATATTTCACTATAGTTTCAAGCATTTTCCAGAAAGGCTAGGCACCTTGGATGTAGGTGGGCCACCTTCCACATTTTCTGCCCTCTTAGCTCTCTCTGAACTACTGTGTGGCTGGGTACTATGTTGTTTCTGAGAATGAAGTTTTATAAGGGAGAGCTGGGATTTTTGATGGACTGCAGCTGTGCTCCAGATTGCCATTCTTCCCTCATAAATTGTCTTTTTGAGGGTTACAAGACTTGCACTCTTTTCATTTAGGTGAATGTAGGCATTTCTATTAAGTAATTTTTTTATGGAGCATATCACATACAATTTCAACACCCACCTCCCAAACTCAGTTGTTTCTGTAATGGAGGACTATGACAACGGTTGTCTTATCACAGAGTCCTGTGTGCAACTGATCTAGTGCTTCCCCCTCTTGCTGCTGCCACTCTTAACAGTGGGAAGAGAATCATCTATGGTAGTCAGCATAGCCTTAGTTTTAGCTTGTCACAGAAAGCCCTGATAACACTGACTAGCCAGAAGGGGTGGTAATGACTTTAGACTAAGTCAGGTCTTGCCAGGAAGCTTTGACGCTCCAAGAATAGTTAATTGAGGAACGAGAGTAGAAGCTGAGTATTGAATGAATAGGGCTCCTTAAGACAACTACATTCAGCTACAACAAAGATACAGAAACCCTTTTGTTCTCATGAATTCAAAGTCTTCCTCACTGACAGATGTTCTTCTCACTGGCAGCATGGCTTAATGAGAAAGATTGCTCCCACATTCCTCCAGAATCCTGTGAAGTCTTCTGCCAAGTCTGAGAAGAAAGGGAGCTGGCAGCAGGGAACACCTGTTGTCATTGGTGGAGAACATATCAGAGAGGCAGTGAGGTGGTCTATGCCTATGTGTGGCCTGGTTTAGAGGCCATTCCTCACCTGGGACTGAAGCTGGCTCAGTCTGGCCTTTATGGAAGTTGAACCTCTAACTTTGGCATTTTTGACCCTGAACTAGCAAGACTTCAACAACTGCCCAACTGGTAGCCCCTGCCAATCTCAGGGGATATATCTGATCCATTTTTGTAAACGTCTCTCACTTCCTACAGGTTGGGATGGTAGTTTGCACATAGAAGGTGAAAATTTTTTAGTACAAAATTTACTTTTTGGTAAACAAATATGTTAAATGTATGAAACCCAGATTTACAAAATAACCAAAGAAACAAATTTGGAAGCACTTAATCTCTTTCCTGTATGCTATTGAGTATGATTGTTTTCAAAGGCAATTTTTCCTCCATGCGTTTAAAGCATTTGATTTTTTTAAAATGAAAATCAGAAGTATTATATTAAGGTTGATTGAGGAATGCATTTATTTTGTAAGACAAATTACATGTAAATGTAGCTCTCTTTTCTGTTGAGGTAGGTAAGGAGAAATGGCTCAAGAGTACGGAAAAAAGAGAAACTGGGTAACACAGATGCAAGTTAAAAAATTAGAAAGGAAATATTTGTGTTGCTGTTTAATGAAACTGACATTTTCTGTTCTCTGTTGTGCAGTATTATTACAGCATAAAGGATATTAGCATTGGTGGGCGGTGTGTTTGCAATGGCCATGCTGAAGTGTGCAATGCAAACAATCCTGAAAAATTGTAAGTACTTGTGCAGACCTTTTATAAAGCTTGCTATGAATAAGTCTAATTGTTTCATCCCATAACCCTAATAAGGATGCTTATACCTCATTAAATATTTTCAGGTTCCTTCCTTCATCAAGAATGTTTAAGGGTCAACAGAAAAGGTGGGATGTATGTACTTCCTCTCCTCCGGCCCTCTGCTTCCTTCCACAGCCCTCAGTGGGTCCAGAGCAGATAAGACTAATCAATTGCAGCACTCTATAGATGATATGGATGGAGCACTAAGTCTCCAAGCCCAAGAAACTGTCCCAGGCAGCTACTAATAATTTTCCCCCACAATTTGATTTTGCATTTATTTGGTTTTGAGTTTCTGCCATGTTTGACATTTTCTACCTCCAGATGAAATAGGCACAGAAGGCAAGAGCACATGCTGGGCCTCATTTATTATGAACAAATTCTCCTCCATACAGAGATTTTGTGTAACTGCTATTATAGAGGCAAGGACTTGGTCACATGGATCTTAGTCCCTTTTAAATTCTGCCTACACAGCAAGCACCTGGCTAACTTAGTTGGTAGAGCATGAGACTCTGAAATTCTGCCTACACAAAGGAGTTAAGTGATGAAAATCTGCTCCTAAATAATCTCCTATCCAAATATGGTGTTTCCAAATGTTTAAATAATTTTTTCCTAGTTCAAATTGTATTTCAGTGATTTAAAAGGATTGTGAGAGAAATAAAACTTTCTTTAACTTAAGTGCTGGTTTGGTTACAAAAATTACTTAATGAAGGTGATGTCCAGAGTAAATCTGGAGCAATAAGGAATTTTGAATATTTATTAGAAAGACATTCGATATGACTTAAATAACAAGGCTTATTCACGGTTTGGCATCACTGGCCCCAGAAGTCTCGGAGTAATTGAATTTCACTATAGGGAGGGTTCTGGATGTGCCATGAATTGCTTCAGTGTCATTTTTACTGCATTCTCTCGGGACTTTCCTTTTTCCTCCTCTGGAGCAACTACCAAGCAGTTTTATCTTCTGTCTTTTCTAATATATTATTTGAAAACTTTTTTTTTTTCTTTTTGCTGTTCTTATGCTACTTCTGTAATTTGGCAGTGTAGTTGCATGAAGCCCTCCGGTTCATTTATAACATGCAGTCTGTTTAAGATGAAGATCCCCATCTTTTTTCTACTGTGGACCACCAGAAATGGAGGTTTCCTAAATGTAAACAACAGGATTTAAGCCTCCTTTCACAACTTACCTGGTGGTACCAGATATGCCACTAATACTGATTAAAGTTGGTACGAGAACTAAAGTGTCTTTATCATCCTTGGCTTAATGGTATTGGGGGTGTATGTTTTCAAATCCTTTTAAAAGAGTTTTTAATTGTAAAATATATGTTACAAAATTTACTATTTTAACAGTTGTTAAGTGTACAGTTCAGTAGTGTCAAGTACATTCACAGTGTTATGCAACCGTTCTCTCGAACTCTTTTCATCTTGCAAAACAGAAACTCTACACCTATTAAACAACTGTCCATTCACCCCTGCTGCCAGGCCCTGGCAACCATCATTCTACTTTTGGTGTTTGAATTTGACTGTACTAGCTACTAAAGAAGGGGGATCATGTAGCATTTGTCTTTTTGTGACTGGCTTAGTTCACTTAGCATAATGTCTTCAAGGTTCATCCATTTTGAGCAAGTGTCAAAATTTCCTTCCCTTTAATGCTAAATAATATTTCACTGTTTGTGTAGAGCACATCTTGTTTATCCAGTTGTCCCTAGATGGACACCTGGGTTGCTTCCACCTTTTGACTATTGTCACTAATACTGCCATGAACATGAGCGCACCCTTTTAAATTTTCATATGTTTTGCGTATAATAAGATGCATGGTCTCAAATGTTAAGTAGTCAGCAATTATTATTACTTTTTTTTCAGATTAAATTTTTTAAATAAATTTTAAATTTTGTTTGAACTAGTTCACAAGTCCTAACACTGTACATTGTTCACTCCCAGCAAAGATGCAGAATAATCATTCAGGAAATACACTGTCCTTTCCTTGCTACCATCCAAATACTTCATGAAACCAAACTGGAAGCTGTTTTCAGAGTTGGAAAGAGCATTTGTACATGTTCCTCTTTTGTCTCTTGTCTTGTTTTCTGAGCTGTATTTGAGCCACAGAATGTATAAATGAGAAGACTTCTAACAAACTCCACTCTTATCCTTCTCTCTTGAAGTAACACAGAAAAGAAATAAAAGAAAAAAATATGATATATATTGAGAAACTCAGAAAGTAGAAAGAAATAAACACTAAATCTCATATCAAGATAGAAAACATATGTTAAATAATTCTGTCAATTTCCAAGTAGACATTGGCATTTGCTTTATAAACATGGCTGATATGGTCATAAGAATAAAATATGCAAAATAGTACCAAAAGACTTAAAACTTATTGAATTCTGTATAAATTCTTACCAAATCATATTGATATGATAAAAAATATAGCATTGCCTAATGTGATTTAGTACTGTCACCCACATAATATTAAAGTATTCATATCATTTCCTACTGCTATACAGTATAATATTTTGGGTAAATATGCAAATATACTTTACCTTTAATTGCTAAACATTTAATTCACACATCAACTTTGTTTTATAAATGCAAAACACATGCATAAGTAAGATCCAATAAAATAAATATAGAAACTGTATTTTGAAAAGCACAAAAGAGTGATGGAAGAAATCAAAGATGATTTAAATCAATGGAGAGGTATACTGTGAGTATATAGATTTGAAGGTTTGGTATACTAAAGATATTATAGAGTGAGCTTTTTTCTCACACCCTTCTTACTACTGAACCTAACTGAGCTTAACTGGGGGTAACTGGAGATTCAGAAATGACACAGTATAGACAGACAGGCAGAAAGTTGGGGCCAGGTGTGTTGGGCACTCGGGTGGAGATACACAACCCTCATTGCTTCTTTATCTCTATTACTCTCTTCAATTATTCTGCTTCTTTTCACTATCTTTATCCTTTAAGGTCTTACTCCTTTAGCGTTCTTTAAAACCTTGCTTCTAAAGTCTTCTTTAAAACCTTGTTTAAAACCTCTTTACTTAGACTGGCTCTGTCCCATGTTTTCTCTTAGCTTTTCTTTAGCATAATCTCTCTTAAAGTCTTTGTCCCCAGGCTTGCACTGTCCCATATTCTCTCTTTAGCATTCTTAAAGTCTTGGCCCTCAGACTTGCTAGCAATTCCCCTGTAGCAATTCTCCTTCAGTAATTCTTTCCCTTCAGCAGTACTCCCTTCAATTCATTTTCCCCTTTCAGCAATCTTCCTTAAGCACTTTCCCTTCGGCAATTCATTTTCCCTTCAGCATTCCTTTCCCTTCAGCAATTCTTTTCCCTTCCAAAAGCCTCCCACACCAAAAAGCCAAAAGCCCAAAAGCCAAAAGCAAAAGCCACCAAAGCAAAAGCCCCCTCAGCATACAGATAAACATCTTAGGAAAAACAGTTGAGCTCCATCTCACCTTCCTTATGTCCAGTTCTCATAGGCTTCTCATAATCCATTCTCCACAATATTGATTATTTTCAAATTGATCTGCATATGCAATGGAAAATAATCAAGATATTTCTTTGTACAGGATAAGCTGACTCTAAAATGTATGTATATGGTAGGCTATAAAATGATCCCTCAGAATATATTCACATCCTAATCACTGGAAACCATGAATGTTACAATATATTGGAAAATGAAAGGATGGTTTTGGAAATTTCATTAAATTAAGAATCTTTAAATGGAGACATTATTCTTGATTATCCAGGTGGTCCCTTGATGCCATCACAGCTGTCCTTATAAAGTGGGAACAAGTTCATGTTAGACACAAAGGCACAGAGGATATGGTGAGGAGCGAAAGATTTGATATGATCCTGAATTTCCAGATGGGAGTGTTGCAGCCACAAGCCAAGGAAGGCCTGTCTGTAACCACTGATAACTAGAGAGGAAAAATAATAGATTTTTCCACCTAACAACAGCACTTTCATTTTGGCCATGGATGCTGATATTAGACTTCCAGCATCCACAACTATGAAGGAGTAAACTTGTGTTTGTTTTATGACACCAACTCTCAAGTATATTGTTATGAAAGCTCCAGGAAAATAATACAGCATAGCAAACTAAAAGAACAAGAGAGTCAATATGATTTAGAAAAGCAAGAAATTGTATGTTTATAACTTCACTTCTTAAAAAGTATTAAAGTAAGAAAAGCTATATGCCATGAAATTATTCACAAAATTCATATTTAACAAAGCACTTGTATCTGTAATTCAAGAATAACTTTCTAAACTGAGTAGTGAACTGTTAATTTATATGGAAACACAAGAGGCTACGAATAGCCAAGGCAATACTCAGTCAAAAGAACAATGCAGGAGGTATCACAATACCTGACTTCAAACTATATTACAAAGCAATAACAATAAAAACAGCATGGTACTGGCACAAAAACAGACATGAAGACCAGTGGAACAGAATAGAGGATCCAGATATGAAGCCACACAACTATAAGCAACTTATCTTTGACAAAGGAGCTAAAAATATACGATGGAGAAATAGCAGCCTCTTCAACAAAAACTGCTGGGAAAACTGGTTAGCAGTCTGCAAAAAACTGAAACTAGATCCATGTATATCACCCTATACCAAGATTAACTCAAAATGGATCAAGGATCTTAATATCAGACCCCAAACTCTTAAGTTGATACAAGAAAGAGTAGGAAATACTCTGGCGTTAGTAGGTATAGGTAAGAACTTTCTCAATGAAACCCCAGCAGCACAGCAACTAAGAGATAGCATAGATAAATGGGACCTCATAAAACTAAAAAGCTTCTGTTCATCAAAAGAAATGGTCTCTAAACTGAAGAGAACACCCACAGAGTGGGAGAAAATATTTGCCAACTATACATCAGACAAAGGACTGATAACCAGAATATACAGGGAACTTAAAAAACTGAATTCTCCCAAAACTAATGAACCAATAAAGAAATGGGCACATGAACTAAACAGAACTTTCTCAAAAGAAGAAATTCAAATGGCCAGAAAACACATGAAAAAATGCTCACCATCTCTAGCAATAAAGGAAATGCAAATTAAAACCACACTAAGATTCTACCTCACCCCTGTTAGAATAGCCATCATCAGCAACACCACCAACAACAGGTGTTGGCGAGGATGTGGGGAAAAAGGAACCCTCTTACACTGTTGGTGGGAATGTAGACTAGTACAACCACTCTGGAAAAAAATTTGGAGGCTACTTAAAAAGCTGGACATCGATCTACCATTTGATCCAGCAATACCACTCTTGGGGATATACCCAAAAGACTGTTACTCCAGAGGCACTTGCACATCCATGTTTATTGCGGCACTATTCACAATAGCCAAGTTATGGAAACAGCCAAGATGCCCCATCACTGACGAATGGATTAAGAAAATGTGGTATCTATACACAATGGAATTTTATGCAGCCATGAAGAAGAACAAAATGTTATCATTCACTGGTAAATGGATGGAATTGGAGAACATCATTCTGAGTGAGGTTAGCCTGGCTCAAAAGACCAAAAATCGTATGTTCTCCCTCATATGTGGACATTAGATCAAGGGCAAACACAACAAGGGGATTGGACTATGAGCACATGATAAAGCAAGAGCACACAAGGAAGGTGTGAGGATAGGTAAGACACCTAAAAAACTAGCTAGCATTTGTTGCCCTTAACGCAGAGAAACTAAAGCAGATACCTTAAAGCAACTGAGGCCAATAGGAAAAGGGGACCAGGAACTAGAGAAAAGGTTAGATCAAAAAGAATTAACCTAGAAGGTAACACCCATGCACAGGAAATCAATGTGAGTCAATGCCCTGTATAGCTATCCTTATCTCAACCAGCAAAAACCCTTGTTCCTTCCTATTATTGCTTATACTCTCTCTACAACAAAATTAGAAATAAGGGCAAAATAGTTTCTGCTGGGTATTGCGGGGGGGGGGGAGAGGGAGGGGGTGGAGTGGGTGGTAAGGGAGGGGGTGGGGGCAGGGGGGAGAAATGAACCAAGCCTTGTATGCACATATGAATAATAAAAGAAAAATGAAAAAAAAAACAGTAGTGAGAAGATAACACCCTCCAAATGGGCAAAATATAAAAATAACTACTTTAACAAAGAATCATATAGAATAGTGTAGAATGGGTAGAATATTGACATTACTCAGTGGTGACATGGATACTGAGCAACTGTAACTCCCATATTTTGCTATTTTGCATGCAAAATGGTACAATCAATTTAGGAAGATTTTAATGATTTCTTAAAAGGTAAACATATAAAATGCAGATTTTTCCCACTTGTATGTAACATATCCATAAAAAGGAAAATGTATATCCATAAAATGACTTGTGGCTGAATATCAACAGCAGCTACATTCATAGTCACATTAAGTACACACATAGTGGTCAGCAATTACATCTATTAGTGTTACCAACTCAAGAGGGCTACTTGTAAGGACTAGAAATTACTGGGTGCTAGATATTGTAATTATTTTTCTCTCCATGTCTATTTAATGTCTATAATTTCCTCATGAGAAGCATTTACCAGAGATGTATTTTACTTTTAGTTGGATTTTGGTTTGGACATATTTAGACCTAGCTTTGTGTTCTGGCAGAATTATCTGCTACCAACTTGTGTGGTGTGCTTTGCGGAATCCTTCTCCCTGACCAGCAACAGTCCCTAATCTTACCATAACCTTTAGGAATCAGGTGGTAGTGTCCAGGAATGCCTTTCCACCTACTAACCAACACTTAATCATCAAAAGCGTATTCACTAATGAGTCACCTAACTCCACCATGTAACCCACTGGAGGTTAGGGTTCTAAGATACTAGAAGTCAGGTCAAAAGAGAACCATCCATGTTCCTGAGCCTGGGAAAGAGTGGCACCATGGGGAAAAGGAGTAAAAGCTATTAGAGAGGGGCTGTTTAGAAGGGCTGCCAAACCCTGTTGATCCTGCCAGGCCCAGGCTTCTTTTGTCCTGGGTAGTTAATGGCTCCCAGTACACATGAACAGAGAGGCCATCTCCCTATGCCTTGGTGAAAAGGTTGATTTGCCATTGGTTCACTCTAGCACAATTACCCTTGCCTTCCTCCACCTACTGGCTCTTTTCTACCCAACAGACTGGCCTTGAGCAAATGCCAGTGAAATCTACATGCATCAACGGGGAAAATCTTATATTTAAGATGATTCAGTGAATGGAGGGAGCCAAGGCTGGACAATCAGTAAAACTAGTTGCTAATCAGGCAGAAGCTGACCAAGAATGTGTACCATACTGACCTTGATGAATCAGTAGATGGGGGGGGCACACATTTAATTCTGGGCTTCCTGGTAGCCAACTAAACAAGGAAGACCTGCTTGGTTTTATATTTCATGATGGCCATAACCGAAAAAGCATGAGGTGCTTAGGAGAAACTTGATTGCAGACATTAGAACAAGATAAGAATTTTTTTCTAGGGGATAGGTGGGAGGTCATCGTGAAAAAGATTCTTTAATAAATGACATATTAAATAACATTTTTATAGCAGATACAAAGAGAAGTTTTCTAAATAACCTTAAGCTTGGGCTGAGAGAATCAGGAAAAACTGTGAGTGACTTAGGGGGTATTATTGTGATTTAGAGAAGTATTCAGCTTCTATTTTTTTGCTGTGCTCAATTTTAATTTCCTGATGAGTGGTCTTGGACCATATATTCTTTAAGAAATCTTCCCTAAATATTCTTTCAGCCCAGCTTATGCCAAGTATTTCATTGGCAATGAGTTGAAATTGCCTCTTTGACAAGAGCCCATTTGGACTCCAGCTGTTGTGGGCTGCCAGTTAAATGTATATCCACAAGGAGGGTGCCGTCCTATTTCCCCATAGGGAAGTGTTGAGGGAATCTACTCAGGTCCAACCAAGAGCCTTTGTAGACAACCGTTTTAAATCCTCTTTCATCACAGATGAATGATAACTCACAGCTTGGTGTTCTAATCTAACGCCAAAGCTATAAACATTTCATTTTAACTTGGAAAAATTTTAAGACAGATGTGAGCTTTTCAGATTTTTATAACTTTTCCTTGCCAAGTGATCTCAGCTTTGGCTCTGCAGTGGAGCTAGGACAGCCTGTGGGAGAAGAGTAAGAAACTTAGCAGCCCTTTCTCACAAGGCCACTCCAGATTTCAGTGAAGATGCGATCCTGACACAACCCAGGAAACTCGGCATGTGTTTTCTCAAGTGGTAGAGGAGAAAGAGCTGAGCCTTCAGAGTCAAACTTAAGTTTGAAGTCTGGTTCTCCATTATTACCATATGACTTTTAGCAAGTATCTTAATACCTCTGCATCTTAGTTTCACTTTGTGGAAAATGGAGATATAAGCAGGATGTGGGAGAGACTTGATACATATGCAAAGTGCTTTGTTCTCATAATCACTCAATGAAGGCTCCACAGATGACCCTATGACTGAGTGCATGTGCCAGTTTTGTACACAGGAACAAATGATCTTAATCAAAGTTATTCGATCACTGAGATATACTTTGCCCACATGGCTCAGGTTCCGATGTGAATGCCAGCACCACACCTGTGGGGAGACGTGCAATCAATGCTGTGTTGGGTACAATCAGAGACGCTGGCAGCCGGCAGCATGGGAGCAGAGCAATGAGTGTGAAGGTGGGTGCTGGAGCAGGGCGGGAGGCCTGGTGCATGGACTTTCCCCCTCTCTACCTAAGGACTGAAACTGGGTTTCCCTGAGCTCCTGAAGAGGCTGAGATCATGTTCATTTAGGAACGCAGGTCTGTTACTATATGGTAGTCCTCTCTCATCCTTGAGGGCTAAGTTCCAAGACCCCTGAAACCAGGGATAGTACTAAATCCTGTATGTGCCATGTTTTTTTCCTGTACATGCATAGCTCTGATAAAGTTTAATTTATAAGTAAGGCAAGTTTCATTTTATCTAATGATAAAATAGAAAAGTTACCACAAGTTTATGGAATAAATTGCTAGCATCACTCCTCTTGTGCTTCGGGGCCTTTATTAGCTAAAATAAGGGTTATTTGAACACAAGCTCTGTGATACTATGTCAGTTGATCTGATGACCAAGACTAATACTAAATGACCTGGTAGCAGATATGGTGTGGACACTCTGTACAAGGTGGTAATTCATGTCCCGGGAAGGATAGAGACACACACATGAGAATTATTCACACTACACAGAAAGCATGGAATTTAAAACTTATGAATTCTTTATTTCTGAAATTTTTAATTTAATATTTTGGGATCCATGTTGACTGCATGTATCTGAGACTGTGGAAAATGAAACCACAGATAAGAGGACACTACTATAATGAAAAACCCACATACTTAAGGTACCCTACTCTGAATTCAGACAGAAATAAGAAAATAGGTATAACAATAATCATTAGTGTGCATTACACTTTCATATATGAAAAGATTGGTCTGAGTATTGTAGCATGTTGGCTTCTCTCAGCAATCTTAAGTAGGATGCAGCCATACAAAATTTAAACCCTTTACTATTTTGAGGAACAAGGTCTGGAGAAAATGAGGAGTTTGATGTCTGAACAGAGAGCTGGAAGCACTAAGGGCATAGGGAGGGAGTGGAAGGCATAAGTGTAGTGGGATTAAGGCATGTGGAAGATGGAGGACATCAGAGGAAGAAGGAAAAATAATAGGAAGCTACTTTTAACTCATGGGCATCTATAAAGTAAGAAAACTTGTTTTTGACAAACAAGCCCTAAGGCATTCCAACTGTAAAATTTCCTTAAGCCAATCTTCTTGGGAAGCCATGTAGTGAAAACATTTTGGTGACTTTTACTTACTGGCTTTAGAGACTGTGTCCTATTTTTATGAATACTCATAGCATTTAAAGTTAGATTTGCTTTTTCGAAATGACCGAAAGACGTTTGGATCTAGCTAAGGTAGTAAAATATAAATGTCTTCTTCACCTCCTCTCACCCTTTTTTGGGTAATAATCTGTACTTTATACTTTGGAGGCAAGTATTTTTTGTAACTATTAAACATGAGACTGATCTTATAACCAGTAAGCTCACTTGAAAGATATTTCTAGTGAGGAGTTCCAAGAGTGCTTTGAGAGATGCTAGCATTGTGGGAAGGTGTTGGTGTTGCGTAAGGTGAAACACTCAGGTGAATGTCTAAGTCCAGGATGCTTATCTGGATGGTCTTTCTCACTTTATAGTTGTAGCCAGCAGGTAGGTTCCTTTGCAGTGATTTCCTGTTCCTCACACCTGAACGATGCAACCAGAAGGAGGAAATAATCAGGGCTCTTTTCTTCAGCTGTGTTCAGGGGCTGGGGTAAGATTCTTTGATTGAATAAGTGTTATCACATGCACTCCAACATTTGCAACTTGATTAGTTTTCTAGACTAAAGGAACTCCAATGAATGACATGCTATGCCTCACATAATGAAAACATTTCAAAATTTCCTTTCCTAAATGTTTAAAATTTGTCAAAGCAGTTAAAAATCACACATATAAGTCAGGCACCGGTGGCTCATATCTGAAATCCTAGCTACTCCGGAGGCAGAGATCAGGAGGATCATGGTTTGAAGCCAGCCCGGGCAAATAATTCTTGAGACCCTATCTCGAAAAAACCCATCACAAAAAGGGGCTTATGGAGTGGCTCAAGATGTAGGCCCTGAGTTCAAACCCCAGTACTGCAAACAAACAAATAAAAATCACACATATAGTTAGCTAATTGTTAAAATTATAAATATTATGCAAGTCAGACCTTTTAGGATTTATTTATTAAATGCTTTCAAATTCCATTCTAATTATGTAATTTAAATAAACAGAATTCTTCAGCCAGACATAGTGGTCATGTCTGTATTGGGAGGCTGTAGCAGGAGGATCAAGAGTTCTAAGCTAATCTAGGCTACATAAGTGAGAGCCTATCTCAAAACAAACACCAGACAGACTTTTCAATAAATAGCTAATGTAGTAAGACATAAATTTTTCCTGCCTCCCCTCCCTCCCCCCTTTTTTTTATCTTGGGACTATAGAGGAATTGAAAATTAAGAAAGTACTTAGCCTGCTGGGGGTATGGCTCAAGGGGTAGAATGCTTGCCTAGCAAGTGCAAGCCTCTGAGTTCAAACCTCAGTACCACCAAAAAAAGAAAGTATTCAATCTGTAAAAACAAAATAATTTGTCTAATTTCTGACTTAGTCTTCTTCCCTAATAAATTCTCCTGGGAACTTGATTAAAACATACAAAGTACTAGAAAGATCTGGATAATTTGAGTGGAATATGATGAATATATATTCTGCCTAAGAAAGAATAAAACTTTTTCATTTTGCAATGATGAAAATCCTAAATGGGTTTTTAATTATATTTTCTAATTTTAGAAGTATTGCATACTACTTGTAGGTATCTTGAAATTATTTTTTAAAAAGTAAACTCCTAAAGAATTACCTCCAAAAAAGAGTATCTTAGTCCATTCAGGCTACTATAACAAAACAATATGAACTGGGTGGCTTATAAACAGCAGAAATTTATGTCTTACAGTCCTGGAGGCTGGGGAGTCCTAGGCCAGGGTGCTGGCAGATTCAATGTCTGGAGAGGGCTGACTTCTGGCTCACGGACAATGGTCTTTTCACTGTGTACTCACATGGTGGAAGGAGTCAAGAAGTTCCTGTTCTCTTCTTTAAGGCACTAATCTCATTTAAGAGTGCTCTACAGTTATGACCTAATTACTTCATAAAGGCCCTACCTCCTCATACCTCACACTGGTAATTAGGTTTCACCATATGAATTTGGTGAGGGGGAACACAAACATTCAGACCTATAGCAGAGAGCCACTGTTAATATTTTGTTATGTATTTTAATGGTTTTGTCATGCATACTTTGAATATTCAAGATTATAATATCTGTATAATTTTATGTCTTGATCATTTTCACTTGATATTTTTAGATATTTTTGACATTCTTTCCCAGGTTATCGTGAACTCTTCGATGTCACTTTTTTTTTTTTGATGCACATATATTATCATCCCTTGGATTCAAGTTAATCTGGCAAATGTATGTTGAATTCCCACTGTGTGCAGAGAACAGTAGTTCTATTGCAAACAAAGCATGTGCAGTTCCTGTCTTCATAGGACTGTCAAGCAAATATATTGTTTGCTTAGCTGTTCCTCCATAATTGGACATTAACATCATTTCCACTTTATCACTGTCCTAACTAGTTCTGAGATGAAGTATATTGTATTGGCTGAGAGTATAGGTTTTAGAGTCAAACAAAGATAGGTCAGATTTTGTCTTTCTTATTTATGAGATATGTAACTACGGACACATCTCTTAGCTTCTCTGAGCCTCAGTTTTCCTATCTGGGCTATGGGGACAATGGTACTTACTGTACAGAGTTACTGAGCAGATCAAATGTAATAAGGCATGTAAAATACTTTTCATGGTATATAAAGTGCTCAATTATTATTAGTAGTAATAGTAAATAATCTCTGTGCATGAATCTTAATTGCATTTTGGTGCAATTAAGATTACATATATTATTACATATATTACATATATTATTACATATATTATTTTTTAAAAGGAGAAACTCTCTCATTTACTATTAAATGGAAGGAGCTATAAATTACATAGGATATACTGGTCTTATATAAAAGTCCCTGAAATTCTCCACTAGGAGTGTCTCCAGCATTCTAAAATAGACTTATTGTAACTAATTTGCAGGGATCTTGTCTGGGGAATTTACTAAATGTCCCATAATGATGATGGAATACTGACCTAGTATGCTTTTCTCAGCCTGCAACTGCCACGGCCACGCTGTGGACTGTTACTATGATCCAGACGTTGAGCAGCAGCAGGCAAGCTTGAACATCCAAGGCATCTATGCAGGTGGAGGGGTCTGCATCAACTGTCAGGTAAATCAAAGTGAAGGTGTTGTAAGTCATCCCTGCTCTCAAAAAGAGGTCAGGAATTTCATATGCAATTCAAAGTACTTTCTGAGATCATTTCTTATTAGCTGGATGTAACTTAAGAGTTGTGGGGAAAAGGGACTGAGTTGTGTTTATCCTAACTTCTTTGTCAAGCTCTTTGTTTTGGTCATTGCCTAAATGGGGAGGAGAATTCCTAGCTCTGTTCCCTAGCTGCTATCCATCTTGTGGTAGAAAGGCTTTAAGGTAGGAGAATAGGTAGGTATCAACTTCAGTGCTGACCTTAAATTTTGTTTTCATAGTTTCTGAATCCAGGCACAGGGAGGAAAGTACACCATGATCAATTAACAATGTCTGCCACAGACACTAAGTGTGAAGCCCTGATACTTTACTGCTTTTGTAGGACAACTGGGTTCACTGGGATTCCTAGCAGATTAGAAGTGAATTTCTGCAATCTGATAAAGGGCATTTATTGAAACCTTGTAACTAACATAATATCAGTGGACAAATATTAAACTCTTTTCTTGTAAACATTGGGAAGAAGACCAGGATGTTTACTCTTCACCAATTCTGTTAAACAGTGCCTTAGGAATTCTTAACCAATGTGATAAGAAATAAAGAAATGAAAGAAGTAAAACCATCTCTATTTTCAGATGACATGATTATTTATGTAGAAAATCCTAAGGCATATACAAAACAGCTACTAAAATGAATAAGTAAATTTAAGAATATGGCAAGATATAAGAATAATATATAAAAAAGAGTTGAAGCCAGGCATGGATGTACATCATGGTGGTGTCTATAAACCCAGCATTCTGGAGGCAGAGGAAAGAGGATCACATGTTTGTCACCTGTAAGTCAGCCTGGGCTACTTAGTGAGTTAAGGCTGACATGTTGAGTCAGTGAAACCCTGACTCAACAACAACAACAAAAAGCAAGGGCTTAGGATGCAGCTCAGTGGTATAGCACTTGCCTGGTGAATATCCAGCACTGAAAAAAAATGTATTTTTATATACTAACTGCAAACAATGGGAAAATGTGATAAAAATTCAATTTGAGTATCAAAAAAAATACCTAGGAATAAATGTAACAAAAGGCACGTGAGATTTTTATACTAAAGCTCAAAAAAATTGCTTAGAGAAATTTTGAAAGAACTAAATAAATAGAAAGATAATAACACATTTATGGATTAAAAAAACCTCAATATTGTTGTCAGTTTTTCTCAAATAGGCCCAGAGACTTAATGCAAATTTTCAGGTAGAAATTGATAATATAATCTAAAGTTTATATTGATACACAAATGGCCTAGAACATCAGAAGTTGTCTTCAGGCTGGCAGAGTGGCTCAAATGGTAGAGTGCCTGCCTAGCAATCCTGAGGCCTTGCATTCGAATCCCAGTACTACCAAAAAAAAAAAAAGCCATCTTCATAAAACTGGAAGATTGATCACAATAAAGAAATGATAAATGTTTGAAAAGATATATAGTTGCCCTAATTTAAATATTATATGATGTATATATGTGCTGAAATAGCATATGGTACTACATAGATATGTACAGTTTTTATGTTTTCTCTGTAAGTTAAAAATAAATGTAAATAAAACAAGCCAAAAACTGGAGGATTTGTATTATTTTATATTAAGGTGATAAGGCTGCAGTTATCATAGCAGTGTGATACTGACATAAAGATAGACCAGTGTAACAGATTAGGGAGCACAGAAGCAAGCAAACCCACACTTAGGTGGACATTTGAGTTTGGGTCAAGTACCAAAGCAATCAAATGGGGGAGGGATGAAAAGTCCTTTCAAAACAAATAGGTCTGAATTAAGTAGATTTTATATGGAAAAAATAGCCTTGATCCCTATTTAAATTGCAGAAAAATGAAATTGGTATGAATCATGAACCCAAAGAAAAACTAAAACTGTAATGCTTTAGGGAAAAATATAGGAGAATATCTTTGTGATCCAAGAGATTAGCAAAGTTTTCTTAGATTACAGAAAGTAGTAACCATGAAAAATGAACAGATCAGATTTTATTAAAATTAAAAACTTCTGCTCACAAAAGACACCATTAAGAAAATGAATAGGCAAGCTGAAGACAGGGAGAAAGTATTCAGGAAACAGAAACCTTATAAATGGTTGATATCATATACACAGGACTCCCACACCTCAGTTATAAAAAGACAAATAACCCCAAATATGCAAAAGATTTAAATAGTTACTTCATAAAAGAAGACAGAGGAATGGCAGTAAGCTCATAATAAAGGGCTGAATATCCTTTGTCATCAAGGAAATGCAAATCAAAATTACAATAACATAACTACATACTCATGAGGATGGCAATTATTAAAAAAGGCTACTAGGTACTTGAGAGGCGGAGATTTGGAGGATCGTCATTCAAGGCCAGCCAGGGCAAAAAGTTCATGAGACCCTATCTCAACAAATAAAGCTGGGTATGGTGGCATGTGCCTGTTATTCCAGCTTTGTGGGAAGCATAAATAGAAGGATCATGGTCCAGGCTGGTCCTGGCATAAAGGGAGACTTTATCTCTAAAACAACTGAAGCAAAAAGGGCTGGAGGCATGACTCAAGTGGTAGAGTGCCTGCTTTAATGAGCAGGAGGTTTTGAGTTCAATCCCCAGTACCGCCAAAAATAAAAAAAAACACCGTGCTAATACTAAATTTGTTGATCATGTGACTACACTTATCATGCATTGAATGCAAAATGGTACAGCTGCTTTGGGAAAAGACATGACAATTTAAACAATAAAACTAAACTTGTTCCTACTCACCCCATGACGACTTCTGCTCCTAGGCATTTATCTACAAGGAGTGGAAATGTTTGTTTACAAAGAGTTTGTAGCAGCTTTATGCAATGAGCCCCAAACTGGAAGCAGTGTAGTGCTCATCAATAGTAGAATTAATGAACAGATTCTGGCACGTTCATGCCGTGAAATACTGAGGAACAATAGAGAAGATAGAACTACTGATGCATGCAACTACATGTGAGAATCTTAAGCATTATGTCAAGTGAAAGCCACTTTACAAAAAAGAGTTCCTATACTGTGACAGCCATTGAAATGGAAAAATCAGAACTGTACTTGACTCTAAGGAAATGGTGATGCGGGCTGACTGGAAAGGACACAGGGAACTTTCTGGGGAAATGGTATTGTTCTATACCTACATAAGGAATGATTTTCCATTTGTATGTGTTCATCCTATCTTGGTGAATGTGCAATTAAGAACTTTGTGCTTCTTGTGTATATATTTTATATCTGAAGAACGAAAGCTGTAAATAAGTACTGAACTTCAGTTAATTAAAGCCATGCTTGAGTTCAAACCCCAGTTCTGAAGCAAAACAAAACAAAACAAAAAAATCCCCCACACTTAAGTATTTTGGGGAAAGTGATTGGTATCTGTAATTTATTCTGGAATGCATGAAAAATAAGATGGATTAGTGGATGGATAGATGAATGAGTAGATGGATACTTATTGATAAAGTAAATACAGTAAAATGTTAATGATAAACTCTAGGTGGGGTATGTATAAGTGTACAATGTAAAATTGGAAGTTTTTCATAAAATGTTGAGGGAAAAGAGCAATGAAAGAAGAAAGTAAGGAGCACAGCATTTTTGAATCAATTTCTTTTTGACTTCTTTCCCTTTGGTGAAGCACTGATGTACCAAAGTAAGATTGAAGATTACCCATGTTTTTTGAGATGTTTGAAGATACTTATCTCCAGAAAAGTTTAGTGTCTTCCACAGAGACATGATCTTTATATCTTAAGCTTGCTCCCTAGTTGATGTATTGTCCTCACTATTTTCAAACTGTTCATCTGTTTCACACATATATACCACATAAAACTTTGGGAAGGGATCCAGATGCAGATGGAACACATATAGCTATGTTCCCTCTGCAACAAAGTCTACAACACAACCAAAAAGATATTAAAGAAAGCAAAATGTGCCCTCATTCCAGAATCCATAACATGAAAATTAGGAAAGTGCGCCATCACAGACCAGGAGTTTCAAGAGATTCCAGAAAGATGGAAAGAAAAAACACATACTTGAAGGAACACGCAGCTGTGAATGTTGTAATAAGTTGTAATAATTCAGAGGTGCTCTAAGAGTCAATAGAAGGAATATAAAACTTTATTAAATTTATAAAAGAAGACCTATATGGAAAGGCATAATGTGTTTCCAGACTTGATACTATAACTATTCTATTTCTCTGAAACTAATCTATAAATTCAGTGCAATCATAATCATAATTTTAATAGGACTTTTACGAAGGTTGACAGACTGATTCTAACCTTTTTATTGAAAAAATAATAGATAATTTAGAAAAGATTAACAGTTATGGGAAAATTAGTCTTCTGAGATATCAAAGCTGTCATGAATTTGTATTGAGTATAGACTCACTGAAGGGATAAATAATCCAATGGAAACTGGTAGACAATAGAAACAATTTCATGGATATGTTAAATTTTTATTTAAGATTAAATGGCATTCCTAATGGAAAAGAAAGATGGTCAGTACATAAATCATACTGGGACAGTTGGTTCTTCATTTGGGGAAAAATTTTAACCCTTTTTATGCCATGTACAGAGAATGTGCGCATCTTGATTGGGAAGGGAGAAGAGGAGGTGTTACAGGGTCAGTTGGCTGGGTGAGCTATGAGGTGAAGCTCCAAGATAAGTTTGGGTTTGTTGGTAGATGATACGTATTCTAGAGCAAGTTCTGCCTACCAGAAACCCAGTAGCTGGGCTGTTTCCCATGTCTTCTGTGCAGTTTTTGTAGGGGGAGAATGAGAATTAATTACCTGCTATTATCTCAGGGCTGCTGCCATGAAGTGGGAATCCCACAGGCAGGCTGACTTTGGAGACTTTCAGGTAATCTTAGTCTGTTGATGTAGTTATAACAAAACATCTGGATTGGATCATTGTCATAAAGAACACAGTTTTTACAGTTCTTGAGTCTGGGAAGTCTAAATCAAGATGCTAGCAGGTTCAGTTGTTGGTGAGGGCTGCTTTTTGCTTCCAAGATGGCACCTCATTGCTTCATCCTCTGGAAAAGAGGAAGGCTGTGTCTTTAACATTGTGGAAGACAGAAGGGCAAGAGAGCCAAATGCTGCATGAAGTCTCCTTCATAAGGGCCTAATCCCATTCACAAAGGAGGAGCCCTTATGACCTAATCACCTCATAAAGGTCACACTAACCACTAAATCTCAATGCCTGAGCCAGGTGACTTGGGAAGCTGAGATCAAGAGAATCATGGTTTGAGGCCAATCCAGGCAGGGAGTTTGTGAGACCACATCTCAACCAATATAGCTGGCCTGGTGATGCATGCCTGTCGTCCCAAACTACACCTGAGACTGAGATTGGGAAGACTGCAGTTTCCAAGGAAGCCTGGGAAAAAAAAGTTCATCATGAGACCCCCATCTCAACAGAAAAAAAGCTGGATATGGTGGCTTGTGCCTGTCATCCTAGCAGTGGTGGGAAGCTTAAAACAGGATTGTAATCTAGGCCAGCCTGGGCAAAAAAATGAGAACTTTTCTCCAAAATAACCAGAGCAAAAAGGGCAGAGGTGTGGCTCAAGCTGTAGAGTGCCTGCCTTATAAGCACAAAGTCCTGAATTCAAACTCCATTATTGCCAAAAAAGAAAAAAAATTCAACTCCTAAAATTTGGAGGGGCTACATTCAAACCATAGCAGGTAGTCAAGCAACCAGGATATAAGAGAGCAGGGAAAGCAGTATCAGAAATAGCTATTTTCTCATGTGGTACTGATTTTATTTTTATTTCTTGGGTTTCCTATTTTAACTATTGGTTTAGGGTATCTAGTTCCCTCACATGTGACATTTGAGAAGAGATCTAAAAAAAGTGAAAGAATGAGCCAGGCATTTGGGGATGGTGTGTGTGTGTGTGTGTGTGTGTGTGTGTATGTGTGTGTATGTGTTGTGGGTGACATTCTAGCATGCCAGGCTGAGTGACTGGCAGGGCAAAGGACTTAGGAGGAAGCAAGGAACCCAGTGTAGCAAGAGTGGAGTGAGCCTGGGGTGGATGAGTCCAGAGAGGTAGCAAAGGCCAGATCATGTGGGGCCTTTGGGCCTTCCTAAGGAAAATCCATGATGGGGCCTCCTGGGGTAGGTTGGCCACAGTGGACCCAATTGTCCCCTTATGGTTGAGGTTCACAGAAATGGAAGCTAATAAGAGTTGTAGGTATGGGGTATGATCAAGGAATTGAAAGAAGGACAGAGTCAAAGAGATGGGGTTGCCTAAAGATTGGAAATCACCTTGGGAAACTTCTGCTTGGAGGAATTCAGACCTAAGAATGATCACAGTGGGGCCTGGTTTCTAGATGAGAATTCAATAGAAAGTTTCTCTGAATGGAGCCAAGGAAGGGGAGTGGGAGGCAGGCTTCCTGCCTCCAGAGACTCCATCTGTACCTCTCCACCTTTTAGCTTGAGTAGCTGAGGTTCTCATTTGATGTTAAGCATCATGCAAATACAACTGCAAGCACCCATCCCTCCGAGCAACATTGCTTCTCCCAGATCTCCAGTATAGCAGTTAAGTATCCACCATTGTCCTTGGGTCTTGACTTGCCTTGGTCCAAGCAGGACCATGGTGTCCATGGATATAGTTGTGCATCTTGCTTTTGGGCTGCGCAGGTCCTAAAGAACCACCCAAGATTTTGAGCAAACTGTAGGATTTATGCCATCTGCAGGGTAACTTGTTGCTTCCTCTCTGTCTTTCACTGGTATTCTTTGTATCTTAAATGTATAACTTCTCTGTGGCAGGTGCTTTATGGTAAGGGGAAAGATCACCCACTTAGAGAACACTTTTCATTTTTTTACTCTAATTAGGAAAGATTTGGCAGCCAAGGTTAGCTTGATGTCTTCTGTCTATAAGTCACAGTGGTAAATAACAGAGAAGAGGGTTAATTGGCATTTGATGGGAAGAGGGTTGGTTGCAGCTGTTTCTTATTTGCCCACAATGTTTATGATGTAAATGTTAAGTTAGAGAAGTGGTTAGCATGGTTTTTGACTTCAGTGTTAAAGTGGATTCAGATTTTAGCCCACGGGAGTGGTAATAAATAAAAGTCTGTAGTTAATAAAACCCTCTAAAACAGGAAAGAGGACACAGAATGGGTCTTTGTTCTCTGTGTGCTTCTATGAAGACTTTTGTGTGGATCAGTGTTCTTGTTAATTTTCCATTGCCTTTCCTTTCATTAATGAAAGAACACTGTCCTCCTAATCCTTTCCAAATTAGAGAGAGGCAGAATTGAGGTAGGTCTGTGGTGTATAATTTTTGGAAACTGATGATGCATGATGGGTAATTTGATTTTGTGGTAATTGTAAGGATTAACCATAAACTAGAAAAAACTGCCTAGTATTGTACTTTAAAATGAACTCTGTGTATGAGACTCATGCCTACATTTTCCGTTCACATAATGAAAATGTCTGGAAAATGGTTTCATGGCTAAAGCACAGATAAAATTAGAATGAGTAGAGACAAAGATCTGTATATGCTATTTCTTTCAAAATTGGAAAAGATATAAATGCACACATGGCCTTTTATTTCTTGGGTTAAACCTAAGTGTGGTAATTATCCATTCATCAGGTCTTCTGAATGAAGCTTTAGGGACTAGCCTGTTTTGTTGTTTTTTGTTTGTTTGTTTGTTTTCCTCACTCAAATGTCAAGTACTTCATGAAAGCAAATTCTTTGGTAGAAGGGAAAGCTTGGGCTATCCAGTTCATGGAACTTCCAATGAGAAAAATTTTCAGGGCCAAGGGTAAGCCCATAGGTCAAGATCAATGCTTATGCTTTTAGTGCCTTTTAAATTACAATTGTATATGATGGAATTATTTTTCTGGGTGAGTAGCACAAAATAGAGAACTGGGCTTCTTTTCCAATATCCTTCCTTCTAAGTTTCTTTTGTTTCTTTCTAGCACAACACAGCTGGTGTGAACTGTGAAAAGTGTGCTAAGGGTTATTATCGCCCTTATGGCGTTCCAGTTGATGCCCCCCATGGCTGCATCCGTAAGTGTCACATCAACTTAATGTCTCTTAGACTGTGTATACTGCTCCAGGGATGTCATTGGGCTCAGTTCTGACTGGCTTCCAGTCTTCATTCACTCTCCCTTATTATTATTTATTCCATTCCTTACTGATTATGTAACCTTAGGCAGTTACATAAATCTCTCAGCCTCAGATTTCTATGTAAATAGAAATGATAATATATGTCACAGAATTAAAATGAAATGCCATCAAAAGTCCTATGAAGATACTTTACATTGAGTCTGTCATATATTAAACCTTCAATAAATGTTAATTGCTCCACTTTCTGTTATTTTGATATGTTTCCGTAATCCCCAGTAATTTCAACTTTTGTCAGAATTAGCATCAAAACAACATTGTAATGAGTACACTAGGATTTAATTATGGTCACAGTGTTTTAAAGTAGTTACAGTTCATTGAGTGCTTACTGTATTCAAGACATAGCCTAAATTCTTACATGAAAATCTTATTTAATGATCATAAAAATCTTAGGATGTTGTGTTATTATTCTTATTTTTAGATATGAGGAAACCACAGGGCCTGAGTAATTAAATATTTTGACTTAGTGACAAAGCCACTAACTGGTAGACTTGGGACATGGTTCATTTCTGGTAACACACTTATTATATAGAAAAATAGTATAACCTGGTAAAATCTGCTGGGTTTTCCGTGTGGAATTTGTTTTTGGATAGATTATGGACTTTTCCCTACGTGTATAACTCAGAGCCTAGCAGCACTGTTCTTTTATATTGTCTGGTTGTCACAGTTGGGAAACAAGTCCAGTCCTTGAAGTTGGCCTCTGTGCCCTTTCCCCCCAATGAATTCAACATATCATTAACATTTGAGGGCATTAAAGTCCAAAATTATATAAGGTGATTTACTTCTATGTAGGGCATTCTTAGTTGTTAAAAAAGTATTTCTACTTTCCTTCCTTTCTCTTCATCATCTTGCAAAGTATGTCTGTCACTTTGTGGGCATTCACAATTGTGTGATGCCAGGACCTACAGCACAGCCCACCTGACTAGTCTGTGTAGGCTTTCCCTCTTGCTCAATGAGCTGTACAGTGCTCAAAGTAATAAATGACATTCTGGAGAACTCAGTGTGAATGCTCACAAATGCTGCTCTCTGACGATCCATGAGCAGAAAACCACTAGTGAAGTATGAAGTGAGATACCTTAAGGATAATGTGGAGCATGATCAACTATGAAACATTGTTGATACAAGGATGGGGATGTATTTGTTTTAGGAAGTACAGTGAAGGACTGGTCCTTGGGAAACCATTATTTCTCTTAGCTTGCAGCTGTGACCCTGAGCACGCAGATGACTGTGAACAGGGCACTGGCCGCTGTCACTGTAAGCCGAATTTCCATGGAGCCAACTGTGAGAAGTGTGCGGATGGATACTATAATTTCCCATTTTGCTTGAGTAAGTGCCCACTGCAGAACAAGGAGCCACTCTTTCTGGTCCACAGCTGGCCTTTGTGCTTGAACACCTGAGGACATGGAGCAGGGGGCAGAAATGGGGCTAGATAGGTTGTATTTACATGAAAGCATTTCTACAAGTCCAGGATATAGATTTTATTAGAATGCATTTTATAGTTTGATGTAGCTTCAAGGTGTTACATTATATCTAGGGATTGCCATTTCAGTAGGTCAAAGGGTCAAATTTGGGAATTTCAATTTAATAGCAATCCATATGTGTGACTTCTTTAATAAACCCAGAAGAAATATCATGAGTTTCCTGATGTTTATTTGTATATGTAGTGTATATGTTATATTTGGGGCAAAGGGGAGGCATTTTTTCTTTCCTGCTATACAATAAGCCAAGTTGTCAGACCTCACCTCCACCCACTGCAGTGATCTAAGTGAACAATTCAGCATCTTTATGAGAAAAGATAAATATCTATCAGAAATACTATAGACCATGAAGTAGGAGAATCTATTAAATCAGCTATGCAGACTGTGACAAGAGTATTGGTTTTATCTGTTCTGCAGCAGTGTAAAAATTGCTTTTTGGGGCTATGAAAAAGAAACACTCTTCAAGAAAAGTACCCCCCCACACACACTGCTATACTTGTGGTTGCCCATCCCTACCTCCTAACTCCTGTTGGCCTGTAACAGAAGTATACTGAGTTGTGGAGACAGGGGCAAGACTCCTGAGAATGGGGTGACTCTGCTCCAGTTTACCCCTGCTGTCCCAGGATAGTTATTAAAGTAACACACACTTTCACTGTGGAGATTTTCCTAGTTTGGATGATAAAATATATTCATAGGAACCAATGTTGTAACTCAAATGTGATGCTACCACATTAGGACTTTTATCAATTTAGAATCTGTGATTATTGGATAGGAGGTGATCAGAAAGTGCCTTGTCTTTTTAGAGAAGAACAAAAGGAAAATTAAATCTGAATCATTTTTATGGCATAAACAAAAGTTACAGGGAAAGCTTGAAAGTCAACATTTTTTAAAAGTTAGTGACATTTTACATGAAAAATCCAAGAAAGCTGCTATAAAAGCCAGCACCATCCCTGCTTAGGTACGCATAGCTATTTTGAACAACTTAGCTGCTTTGATCTCAAAACATCTATTTCTGTTCATTAATCTACAAATGAGCATGTCTGACCAGCCTGGTTGCAATTACCAGGCAACATTTGGAATAAAGCAAAAGCAAGATTAAATTAGTGTCTACATTTTACTTTTCATTGAGTGAGAGAGTGTTTCTTCCTGCTCGGTGCAACTTAATGTTTAGCTTTACTATATCCTTAATCATTCTCTTTATTTTTAAAAAAATTTTTATAGGATTTCCTATTTTTCCTACATATACTCCAAGTCCAGAAGATCCAGTAGCTGGTGATATAAAAGGTAAATAACCTCCCTTTTCGCTTAACATCATTGAAAATGTTATGTTCCATTTTCTTATTCTGCTTCCTGTACACAGCACCACGCCCAAGTTCAAGTCCTTCCTAGAGAATGGCAGAGGCTTCACAGATATCTTATGCTTTCCCACCAGCATTGTCCACTCCAGTCTGTCTTTTGCAATGGCACCGCTGATTAAGGAAACTGAATAGACTGATTACATATGACTAGCTTGCTCAGAAACCTTCTATAGCAGCCAGTTGTTTACTGTCTTACTTGGGTTCTTTAAAATGAGATTCCCAAGAAAGGAATTGAGTGCACTAATTTGTTTGGAGGTGATCCCTAGAAACACCCAGAAAGGGAGTGAGTCAGGGCATTGAGGGAGCCATTATAAAGGTGCATTAGCCAGCCAGGCCCACCACAGCACCCAGGTTCCTAGCTTTCCTAACACTTATACTCCAGTAGGGTTGTGGGGGTGGGGCTTAGACAATAACATATATATATGTCATATATAATGTTGTAATATATATGTAATATAAACCACAAAATAAGTAAAAAGTTTTTGATTTTATGCTAGCCAGTTTTCTGTTACTGTGCCAAAATACCTGAGATTATCAACTTATAAGGAGGAAAGGTTTATTTTGGCTCACAGGTTCAGAGGTTTCTGGCCACTTGGCCCCATTGCTTTGGGCCTGTGGTGGTACAATACATCAGGTTTGGAAGGCATGGCCAGGAGGCCAGTTTACTTCATGATAGCCAAGAAGTAGAAGGGAGAGAGAAGGGGCTGGGTTCAAATATCTCCATCAATGGCACACCACCAATGAGCTAATTAATTTCCTTCCATTAGGCCTCACCTCCCAAAGTTTCCACCACCTCGCAGTAGTGTCAAAGGCCAAGGTACAAGTCTTTAGCACATGGACCTTTGGGTGACATTTAAAATCCACACTATAGCAGGTGTCATATGCAATGTTGTATCCCATATTAGAGTGCCAGTTGAGGGGAGCCATTCACATCTGAGTCATTCACTAATTCACATGAGCAGATTCCAGGCCTCTGAGCTTGATTCTGGAGCTGTGATAATCTCCTGTATAAACGTATATAGTGGCACACACAGGCACCCACATGCTCAGAAGCACATGCCTGCCGTGAAGGACACGCTGCATGCACATACAAGGACCATGCCCCATCTGGATCATACACAGGCCACCCACTAAATTTGCCTCTGCTATCCCAGGGTACCCACAGAGCCTGATGGCCAGGTGTTCATCTCATTGGGGAGGATATAGTGTGAGGCATGTGAGAGCACAGAAGCCCCTCCTCTGGAGGTGTCCAGGAGAAGGTGCCTTTAAGAGCTCGCCTGGGCACAGGAGCTCTGGTTCTGTAAACCACATGGCACTTCAGGGTCTGGTCTGCAGGTGATAAGTGCTGTGGGAAAAATAAGGCATGAAGGGAAGTTTGCAAATTGAAATAGGTAGGTGCAGGAAAGAGCAAGTGCAAAGTCCCTAGGGCAGGAGTGTCTAGTGTACAAAGAGACCAGAGTTTTGAAACAGAGTGAGGGAAGAGGAGAGTGGTAAGAAAGGGAAGCACCAAGGGCCATATTGTAGGCCCTGGTCAGCCACTGGGAAAACAACTTTCATTTTACTAAAAATGAGATGGGCACTACAGAGAGTTTTACATAAATAAGTGACATCATATAAAAGAATCTTTGTGTTGAAAACACAAAGTAGGGGGAGGAGAGAAGGACCAGGGAGACCTCATGGAAGGCTATGATGATCCATGAGGAAGAGATGATGGTGGTTGAAACCCAGGTGGCATGAGAAGAGTGGGTGAGAAATGCACAGGTGGTGGATATGATCCAAAGGGAGACCCAACAGGACTGCTGGGGAATTGAGTGGATTCTAAGAGAAAGAGAAGACTGGGGGGGACTCCAAGGCTTTAGGATTGGGCAGACAGAAGAGAAGCTTCCCTGTATTGAGACAGGAAACTGAAACCAAGAAGGCACATTATATAGGCCAGGAAAGGGGCAGGCAGGTGCAGCTGTGGGGTCTTATGGAAGTGCTGTTCAGTTCATTTCTTGTTTTCTCAAGGTCAGGGGCAGGAAGTAAGGATAGGGAGGAGACCTTGGAGAGGAGAGGGAGAAGGCATCAGAGTCATCTAGGCGCATGGGAAAGTGCTCAGGCTTGGGAAACTTCACCAGACTGTTGGGGAAGGTAGATAAGAGTATACTTACTCCCTTCTGCCTCCCCACACCCAACTCCTCTAAGCAAGCCATGGTTCTGTGTGTGAGGAATATAGGGTGTTGTCTCATGCTTTTGTCACACACGTGGGCCTGGAGGACAGCAGCCATGCTTGACTGGGTGGGGTTTTGTGATCCCCACAGTATGGATGGACCATGGTGTTCTGCCCTCAGTAGGAATAAGCAACCCTTCCCTTGAATGTAAAGTGACCAGGATGGAACAGTGCTTGAGCCCTGGTTATAACACACATCTCTGATTTTCTCCCACAAGAATGTTTTAGATCTTCTGTTTGTAGTTTGTTTGCAGTAGTCCTATTATTAATTCAGTTTATTCTCTCTAACTGATTTGATGACTTAATTGAACTTGAAGAAATTTGATTGAACTTGAAGGGAAGTTCAGATGTTGGTTATACAATGTTAGGGAGGCCCTGGAACACAACCTCAAGGAGGAGGTTTCAATTAGAGCAATTAAGTTTGTTTAGGAATTTGAATGCAGATATCCACTCCAATTTGGTCTTATATTAATGCATTTAAAAAAATACCCAGTTTGGGAACTGCCAGTGAACATTTGAAGAACAAATTTGTGAACTACATGAAGATATATAGCACTGGACAAAACCAGGCAACCTCCCACCCCTAACAATTTTAATTCTTTAAGGCCATGGAGGGGCCCATATCCTTGAAAAAAAGTGGTTCTTAAGCAGGGGTGTGTTTTAGAATCCTTTGCTTCTTTCAAAATAGAAATTTGTATATTACCTAAGATCCTTCACTGGGGTGAAGCCCAGGCTTGTCTTTTGAGCGAGTTTTCCAGATGATTCTGATGTATGCTTCTTGTTAAGAACCAGTGCTCTTGTTAGTAGAAATTCCTGTTTAGTGGTTGGTTGGCAGACTTTGCTGTGAAGGGTCAAATAGTAAGAAGTTTTAACTTTTGAAGGGGTTATAGAGTCTATCATATGTCCTCAACTGCTATTGTAGCCCAAATAAGAAGAATGAACTGTGTTCCAATAAAACTTTATTTACTAAAATAGGGACATATTTGACCCTCAGGCTATGGTTTACAAACCTCAGGATTGCATCAGTGTTTCTGGGTGTGAGATTCCACACCCAGGCAATGTTATTTTGTCAGGAGTTTTCTATGTGCACCCAAGATTGAGAGTAACATTCTAGAAAATTGGTCCTTTATATCCGTGAGTTCTGTATCTATAGACCAACCAACAGCAAATTTAAAATCTTTTTTCAATTGCATTTGTACTGAATATGTACAGATTTTCTTCTTGTCATTACTCCTTAAACAATATAATATAACAACTGTTTAATGGCATTTACACTGTATTAGGTATTTTAAGTAATCTACACGTGATTTAAAGTATATTATTTAAAGTATATAGTACATATACTGTTCCATTTTAGATAAGAGACTTGAACATCTGAGGATTTTGGTACCCATGTGGGAGTTGCAGTGGAGGGGAAATGACCTGGAACCAACTCCACCAACTCCCTGTGGATACCAAGGGATGACTTCCAGACACCAAAGAGCTGAAACAAATAAGAATGTTTTTGCAGATCAGAATGTTTTCAGTTTTCTCACTGTATTTCATGACCCTGGATATTATTAGACCTTTCCAGGCCATGAGATCAATTATATCCACTTAAGAGTTATTTTTAGGAAGTCAATATATAATAGACACATCTTCAAGGGCTCCTTTTGGAAATGACACAAGGAGTGTGTATCCAGGGCATGTAATCCAGTTCTAGTCCTCCAAGTTCAAAGAACAATGACAAGAAAATCCACAGTTGTAGGAAGACAGGTGCTTACTTTTTCAGGGAAATTGAGACAATCTGAGCTAATTGTGTAGGGCAGCCAGAAACCCGACCCCCTAGATACCCGGCAGACACTATTTTGCCCATATCTCTAATTTTGTTGAAGACAGAGTACAAGCAATAATAGGAAGGACCAAGGGTTTTTGCTAGTTGAGATAAGGATAGCTATACAGGGAGTTGACTCACATTGATTTCCTGTGCATTTGTGTTACCTTCTAAGGTAATTCTTTTTTTTTCTTTTATTATTTATATGTGCATACAAGGCTTGGGTCATTTCTTCCCCCTGCCCCCACCACCTCCCTTACCACCCACTCCGCCCCTTCCCTCTCCTCCCCACCCCCTCAATACCCAGCAGAAACTATTTTGCCCTTATTTCTAATTTTATTGTAGAGAGAGTATAAGCAATAATAGGAAGGAACAAGGGTTTTTACTGGTTGAGATAAGGATAGCTATACAGGGAGTTGACTCACATTAATTTCCTGTGCGTGTGTGTTACCTTCTAGGTTAATTCTTTTTCATCTAACCTTTTCTCTAGTATCTGTTCCCCTTTTCCTATTGGCCTCAGTTGCTTTTAAGGTATCTGCTTTAGTTTCTCTGCATTAAGGGCAACAAATGCTAGCTAAATTTTTAGGTGTCTTACCTATCCTCACCCCTCCCTTGTGTGCTCTCACTTTTATCATGTGATCAAAGTCCAATCCCATTGTTGTGTTTGCCCTTGATCTAATGTCCACATATGAGGGAGAACATACGATTTTTGGTCTTTTGGGCCAGGCTAACCTCTCTCAGAATGATGTTCTCCAATTCCATCCATTTACCGGCGAATGATAACATTTCGTTCTTCTTCATGGCTGCATAAAATTCCATTGTGTATAAATACCACATTTTCTTAATCCATTTGTCAGTGGTGGGGCATCTTGGCTGTTTCCATAACTTGGCTATTGTGAATAGT